GGGCATTGCCTGCTGCAATTCGGGCAATAGAAGTATGTGCAACCTGCCTTGCGCATACCGGCTGCGTCAATGTTCTGGTTGGCCTGGCAGCCAATACACCAACCAGCTGTTAATGCATATAGTGCGTTACGCTGTAAGTTCAGCGCAACGTCGGCGGCGAAGGTGGGATGCGCAAGCAGCAACTGCTCAAAGTCCTTCGTCTTGACAAGATAACGGTACTTTTCGAAGACAACGGAAGTTATGAGACGTCCCATAGCCCCATCGACGTTGACCTCGGTACCGTAGTGAGCGTGGATTGCAGTGATGAGCATGTCTAGGTCTTTGACAGCTTCTATAAGTACAGCCTTCACATCTTCTGCAGCTGGCTCGTAGAGCTTGACAACGTCGTACTTGTCAGCGATAGCGTGCACGCCGATTGGAACAAGCACACGCTTGCTCTTGTCATCGCCTGCGAGCTTCGCGATCTCGTGTTTGTCGTACTCGTTGGTGTAGATGAACTTGAGAAAGAACTCAAAGTGATCGGGATCGTCCTCATGCAATTCCATGATGCCTTCTGATGCTTCCTGGAGATAGTTAGTATTCTCCTTCCACACAGCTCTACACATCTGCCAATTTACCTTGAAGTTGCCAGTGAAAGCATTGAGAAAGTAGTCGGACTCTAGACATAGCACGGCCTTGTGCGCATAGTATTCGCGTGTGTGGCCTTCGTGGATTTGCTTGATCGTGACATCGGATAGCGCGGGGTTGTTGAAGAGCCTGGGGTCACGTCAGTACCCATGTAGGGCTGGAGAAGCGAGCATGCTTGGCTTGTGCGACTTACTTAGCAGCCGATCGCTTTGATTCAGACATATCGAAGACCTTGCGGCCGAAAGGGATTGCAGTGCGAGTTTGCAACAATATTAGAGCAGTGAGGTTGGCGCGAGCAAACAAGGTCGCTGTATGTGCACTTGAACAAATCGGGTTAGAGGGGGGTATCGCGATGTGAACGCGGCAGGCTACCGCCAATGACGGACCCAATGAAACGTGGAAGGTTGAAAAACAGGAAGAGGACGGGCAAGAGATATTCAATAGAAAGCATAGGTAGAGACGGCCAAATCGGCCAGGGCAGCCAATAGATTCTCGGATCAACTGGATCAGCCTCAGAAGATAACATCTACATGTTGTTTCTTGTAGACTGTTTACCTCCATGCGCACCGTTGATCTGGCAGCATGCTCACAAGTCATCAATTAGCGGGCTAAGGCCCTGCGCAGTACCAATCCTCACCTCATAGAAGTCCCTTCGCCTCTCAACATGACCACGGTCTGCCATGAACTCAGCAAACGCAGGCGCATCCGTACCGGGCTGCTGCAGGATCGTCTCGGCGCCTTCTGGTGCTGGGATATCCTCACGGACGCTCCAGCCACGGCCAGATTGGTTCTCGTCGCTGAGCATGAAGCTGTGGAGCAGCTTTGCGCCTTCAGGGTGGGGTGCTTTCTTCAGGATTGCGCCGGTCTGAGCCCAAGAGACGAACTTGGCGTCGCTGGGGAGCGCGTACTTGACTGGTGGTCGGTCTGCGAATGAGTAACCGGAGCTAAAGGTCACCGCGCTGCTGCTGTTGGCAGCCTTGATGAGTGTGCCGGGAGTGGCAGTACCGCGCACCCAGCGGGGGTTGTTGGCCAGCAGGGCGTTGAACCATTCCTCACCGAGCTCTTCGATGCTGCGCGAGATGTTAGCCAGTGACTAAGCATATGAGGAGGGGAGAACGTACATCAATTCGAACTGGTACAAGACGGCATCATCGTCGTTGGGGTAGGTCAGAACGATCTTGTCCTTGTATTCGGGTTTTGTGAAGTCTTGGTACGAAGTAGGCATCGTGCTCGTTTTGTTCGTGTTGGCAGAGATACTGTTGCAGTTTAGCATGTGTTTTTAGAGGTATTACAGGAAAATCATACCCCCAATCAAAGATGAGCAGTCCACTGTAAGCCGCTTCGGCGTCCTTGAACACAGGGTAGATCTTGTCGAAGTTCAATGGTGCGTAGTTCATCAAAGCGCCTTGCTTCTTCCATCGTGGGTAGTCGTGGAGCGTCTGCAAGATGATGCTGTCGACGTAAACATTGTCGGCAGCCAGTTGTGCGTCAAGGTTGACATCATGGTACTTCGACAGGTCGACGGTGACATTGAGTGTCATGTTAGGGAACCGTGCCTCAAAAGCACTCTTCAGACTGTTCTGCTGAGTCTTCTCATCGCCGCCATGCCAAAGAGTGACAACGCCGCCTTCTGCCAAAGCTGCCTGGTAGATTTCATCGAGGCTGCGCGTCTCCCGCTCGAAGTTTGTAGTGTTTGGCAAAGAGGCTGCCCAAGAAATCCCGGCAAAAAGCGCCAAGCTAGAGTATTCGAAGCGCATCGTGGCTGATTTCGGTCGGCTGGCTGTGATAGAGGCGCAGTTGTTTCACGAGCCATCGAGGTATTGCACATCTTATATCGGCGACTACTAATCACAGACCCACGCGCTACAGATACTATCGCGACAGATTGATTACGATCATTGCTTCCACTTCCGATTCCGACTCGGGCCTTTAGAACCTGTTTAGCGGACCAGAAAGAGGCTGAGCCTTCACCGAAGTTGCGCGGCCTCCAGATAGAATGGGTGACGTTGTAATAGAGAAGCTAGGCTCTCGCTTCCAATTGTGTCAGGAGCTGCAAGCACCTGAAAGTAGAATGTTTGGCATACGCAGGCTTCTCGATGCAGCATCTTCAGGAAAGTATTGCGAAATCGACACTTTTCTTTGGCAGGGACCGTGCGGGTGTTGTGGGACTGGGTACGAACGCGCTCCCAATCCGTATGGTCTACAGCCTTATCAGCATGAAGCTTTGTCGCGTCGATTCAGGGCTTCTGAGAATGAGAGGGCGAATGAGCCTCGTAGAAGGAGAAGATGGGTAAACTTCGGGTTGGAACAGGTCAACGGTGGTCATGATTGAGTGCTGAGCTGACACGGGAGCGGCTCTAATTCAGGAGAAATGTGGGCGGGGCACAGACTTGGAGATGAAGAGGGCCAGTCACGTGAACGCTTCGCCTCTTTCCGGTAAGGCGCGACCCCCCTTATCGCATGCCCCCGGCAATCGGCACCGTCATCTACGCCTTCGCCCTGGACCGCGTGAAGGTATGCCGTCGCAACAAACATCACCGCCATTGCTAGCGGAATCCAAGAATGGACCGAAGCCTGAGAAATACACCCGATGGATAATGATTCAGAAAGTTCTCCGCAGGAGCCGCCTGCTAAAAAGCAACGAACCCTAGCTTGCCAGCGATGTCGCTATCGCAAACAGAAGTGCGAAGACAGCCGCCCGTGCCAGAATTGTGTCAAAGGAGACGAGGAATGCCTTCCTACGCAGCCAGCGCCTCGGCCGCATGTTGAGAGCGAATATGTGCGCATTCTGGAAGAGCGTGTTGCTGAGCTTGAGGCCCGAGACCCGCAGCAGAGCCTTGATCATCTAGCAAGAACCCAGAACAGGCCTGATCACGACATAGATGACACGTCCCCAGCAAGCAGTGGGTTACCGGGTGATGGGGTCACAGGGGGAGCAGTGGCTCATTCGATTCAACAGTCCTTGCCGCCGCGGCGGTCATCTATCCTTTCCGGCTCATCTTCGGGTTATGCAATAGCTTCGGGCACGGATGATGAACCCGACTTGAATCATCTCATCTTTGGGCTTATTGCATCACCTTCAGCGCAGTTTCCAGCTCACGATGCTTCTCGTACCTCAACAGCCACACGACCGGCACAGGCCGAAGTGAATAGCGCGCACACACTGTTGGCCAGCATCTCTCTGGAACTCGAAGAGTCATTGCTCAACGCATATCGCGAGCGCGCTCAAGCCCAGTATCCCTTTTTCCACTGGGACACCTTCCTCACATGGCATTCGGAGTGGAAGCATTGTTTGTCCCGCGACCTTGAAGAACGAGCATGGCAAGGGTTCTTCATCAATCTTGTATACGCGACAGCTTTAGTACTGTTGCGTCAACCTTACGCGGCAATGCTCAATGCTCGAGAATTCTACGATAGTGGTATCGCACTCCTGCCGGCTGTGCTACGTCAACCTGATAGAATTCTCCAGGTGCAGGCATATCTACTGCTGTCCGTGCATGCACTACACCAGAGCTCTACTGAGCGCATCATTTCCCTCGCGTCCACAGCGATACGACAATGCGTTCTGCAACAATTACACCTCGGCGAGACGGAACCACCATCAACCGACGTTCATGCACGACTGGTAATTCAAGTTCGACGGCGATGCTTTTGGTGCGCGTACCTTCTTGATCGGCTGGTCATGTCCTCCTTCGATCTCCCTCCATCTGTGCCGGACTATATGATTACCGTAAGGCCTTTCGCTAACATCGAGGACCATGACCTGTTAGGCGCCGCTGCCATCACGCCGCCTAATCACGACTTGAGTGACTCTCAGAACTACACATGTAACTCCTCAGCGCTTCACATACTGCAGTGCAGGCGCATACAATCCGAAATAAGCGCCGTTACGCTTCGATGGGATTACCAAGCTCAATTTGAGAATAGTTCAGATTGGCGGATAAGAATACTTGCGGAATTGGAGAACTTCAAATCTAGGGTACAGAACTTTTCAGATCCACAGTCAAAAGGTTATACATCACAACGGTGGCAAGCGATGATCTATCACTATACGTTGCTCATGCTTTACCGACCGACAAAAGCCAACGTGATCGGGTCTGCCGGCGATTGGTCTGTTCAAGCCAGCAGCCAGGCTTGCTTAATGTTTCGTAGGACTCAGATTGATCGTCAAATCGCTCAGCCATGGCTTGCAGTAAGTAATTTCGCATACTCGATGACGCATGCGCTAATCCTAGCAGCTCCTCGTACAATTCCAATCCGGTATCACACTCTTGTACTGCTTCTGGGCTACCCCGCCGGAACATAGAACCGACAATTACTACTCTCTCGATGTCTCTGACGCGCTCCGCGCCTGCTCCAACATCCTAGCGATAATGGCAGACAGGTGGGCGAAGGCAGAATGCCTGCGAGACGTCTTCGAGCTACTGGCGCGCGAAATCCCGCTGGTCGACCGACCCAACAAACCACCCGCTCGGTTGTCAGAGAAAACCGTCACGGCAATCCGAGAGCACCTTCCGCAGGTTCGTGCACTAGTAGTGCATCGTCCGGTGTTGCGCATGATCGATGAGATGATAAATGAAGACTTCCCTCGCTCTGCGCAACCTTCCCAGCTACCAACGATTCGTGGCATGCTCGCTCCGAATCACCAGGAACCTGAGGAAAACTTCAACAATCAGCTACAGCAGATCAACGGAAACTTCCAGATGCCATTTGCTATGCAGCAGCCATTCGAGTACGGGATTGCAGATTCTGGGCTTGAGGATTTGGCTGTTGATGGCCTACTCTCATTTCCTGGGGTGTTTGACTTCGAAGGCTGGACATGACACGTCATTAAAAAGTGAGATACTATTGGAGCTAGTGTACTCATAATGTGGGCTATCGACGTCTTTTCAACTACGCTGCTTTGCCCTTGTCTACGATAGACTCCCCCGCGACCGTCTCGAAGAAAGCATCCGCCAAATATCCACCGCAATAACTCAACTTCTCAAACCCATCAGTCATAGGTTTTGAGCTAAGAGCTGGGCCTTGCACCGACTTCAAGTAGCCAGCGATACCTTGGTCCTGCCACATCTTCGCAAATTGCTCCGTCACCATGTTCAGACCTTGCAGACTCCAGATCGGCTGGACCTGCCACACGATGCCTAGCTTGGCAAGATCGAGATGAAGATTCTTAACCTGGTCATCACTGAACCCGGCTTTCGCAAAGTCGTAGTCACCGGTGTAGCCAAAGGCAAAGAGCCGATCTGGATACGCTTTGCGAACTTCGGTGTGGAACTCGACGATGTCGTCCCAGTTCGGAGAGTCCATACGCGCCCAGGTCACGTCTCCGAGTGGCGCAGCGGCGATGGCACGCTCGACGATACCCTTGACACAGCTCTTGATCATGTATTGTCCCATTGCTGATCGCGACAGCTCCCAGTCGAAGAACACTTCCTGTTTCACGGTCTTGTTTGCGATGTCGCGACGGTCTGACAGAGAAGCAACCTGTCGTTTCGAAAGCTCCGCCTTGTAAGCGGCAAACTCTTCTTTCGACGCAACGGTCTCAACAGCCTCATCGAAAGTCTTCATCCCCGCTTTTGCCTTCCACTCGTTCCGCGCAGCCTTCAAATCTTGCCCCTTCATCTGCGCAGCCGCAAGACACTTCTGTAACGGCTCCACCTTCTTTGTCGCCCCCTGCACATACTCGTGGTCGCGCTCGTCGACGACACTGGTGATGAACTCGGCATGGTCCGTGTCGCAGCGGCATAGCAGTAGCGTCTCCGCACCCATGACATCGAATTGCATCCGCACAGCTGTCAAGCGATCCAGGTACTCTTGCGTCGGCACAATAGTACGCCCTTGACCAACAGTAAACTTCTTCATCCCAATAGCAAGGTCGTCAATGTGTATCATTGCTACACCGGCGTCCACGAACTCGCGCGCCATCTTCATCGTACTCGTCAGGCTACCGAAGCCCATGTCGCCATCCGCGACGATTGGCGCCATGTAGTCCCAGTTCTCCAGCTTTTCACGGTCCTCAATCGGATGTCGCAACCGGTACTGTCGTTGGCGCTGGTCGTGCCAAAGCTGGCTCTTGAAGATCTTGGAAACAACCTTCGGCACGGTATCCCAAGGGTAGTCGGCGTGGTCCATTCCGGGGAGTGCGACTTCCGAGAATCCGCATAAAGCACCGGATACGTAGACAGTCTGCTGATGTTTGGCCATCTGCGAAACGGCTACCGGATCGGTGGTACCGAATGTCAACTCGCACGTGCCGGCTTTGTTGTGGGCGTTAAGCTGCTCCCAAAGCTTGATGGCCTGGATCGAGGAGGCTTCCGAGGGAGCGGGGATGGAAGTACGAAGCGCGGCTATAGTGCTTGCAGTGTATGGTCTGGAAACAAGGTCAGCTGAATTCGGTCACGGAGCTGATCTACTGCTTGAACTCTGACGGGGCTACATACCGCTTCAAATGCGATTGCCTTGCAGAGCTCCATTGCTTTTCGATAGCAGCTACATCAGCTTCGAAAGCCTTCTGCTCATCTTGAACGGATATGTCGAGTTTTGGCATGATACTGGATATAGAACAGGTTATTCTTGTGTTCGTTTAGCAATTCAGCTTGCAGATTTGTGTATCTCAATCAACGAGGTGCCTCTGGTCATTTATTCACAAGAATGTCTCTTTCAACAGTAGCCCAAGCTCGGCGCGCGAAACGCGAAGCTAGCCTTGTCAGCCGACAAATGCAGGGTCTCTACTTTCCCCACTACAAAGAAGCGTGGAGCCCTCGTTCAGCTCGCACTCTCGCACTTGGGAGTCCGACAGAGTCCGTTATCGGCAAATAAACGAACATGAGAACGGGTCCACTTTTGCGGTACGGAGGCGCACGCCTGATCGCTTTTCGACTTCCGATTGTGTTTTGTCCACCGTGGCATGTGGAGGGTCTTTACTTGAATGTGTTTCACTCAAGATTCGGTCATGGGTATCACCTGATGAAAGGCACGTGTCGGACTACAGAGGAAGAAAGTCACAGATATGGCAGTATGCTCGCAATTGAATAGTTCATTTGGATACAACTTATCGTGCCTGCAAATCTCGTATCAAGCTGTTCTCAGCCTCTGCTGTATCTACCATACATATCGAAAGTGCACGTTTTGCTTGTCAGTCAAGTCGCGGAAGTCAGTATCTGCGTGCACCCTTCCACCCTTATCAGAGTCGATGCGGTCTCGTCTGCGGTTCTCATACCAGCAATACGTCGCATACATAGCGATGGTGATCATCGAAAGAACATAGCTTCCCAGCACAGCACCCATACCAAGTGGATACAGCGGTGCCTGGTCGGCCTTGAAGAATTGGGGCGCGATGATGTTGCTGATACAGTATGCGATAAAAACCAGCGCATTGACAGTGACTTTCTTCGTATGGCCCGCAGTGTTTGCCGTGTTGATACCGAGGGCAACGATATAGGGTCCGAGGTAGAAATAGGAGCAGTATAACGCTGCGAGACGCCCGTTGTAGTTGTCGAGCGGCAGGACGTATAGGAAGACTGCTGAGATCATACCGACGATGATACCGAACATGACCCAAGCGGTACGTAATTGTTTTGCCGGAAGATACTTCGCAGTCAGGAATACCCCGCCATTGCAAACGTATGACGCTATGGTCTGCAAGATACCGGTAGGCATTGTGAGGAGCGTCGAGCGTTGAGACGAGTAGCCGAGACCTTTGATGATGAGAGGCGTGAAGTTCGTCAAACCTCCGTTCGGAACTAGAGAACGTCAGCCTAAATTTGGAAGGGTGGCACATCGGGGTTACTCACTACTGATCCAGATATGAAAGAAGAACATCAGCCACGTCTTAGGATCAAGGAAGGCTTCAATCATCTGGTCTTTCTTAAACGTTTTGTTCTCCACTCCCGTCTGATCTTGCCGGATTTTGTCAATTACGATGGCCTTTTGTCGCTCGCTGACGAACTTCGCCTTGACAGGATTGTCGGGTAAGAAGATACCGATCACACAAGCCCATACAATAGTCATTGCGCCTGTGATCCAGAACATAGCGCGCCATTGATGTTCGCCTGCTAGGAATCCGATACCGTATCCGATTGGGCCAGTGAAGCACACAGAAAGACCCGTATACATCAAGCCGGTTCGAAGAGGTTGCTCACGTCGCGGGTACCACATGCTGATGATGAGGAAGTTGCCGGGTACAATGGGCGCTTCAAGGGCTCCAAGAAGGACACGAAGTGCGATAAGCGTGGGGAAGTTGTTGGCAAAGCCAGTCGCGATGAGAATGCAGCCCCAGAGGAGTTGGACGACAAACATTAGTTTGGCGATCGGGAAGCGTTGGAGGAGGCTGCCACTCGGTAGGCACCAGAACAGATAACCGAACTACACGCATTGTCAGCACTATAGAAGCAATGACAGTTGGGATTGCTCACATAGAATGCACTGCCGACCCAGCTGTATCTATCTCCAGTCAAGCCAGTATCAGCTCGGAAGCCGTACAAGGCCGCTGTAGCTGTCGTCACTTTGTCCATAGCGCCCAGCGTGATGTTGACTGATGTGTCTGTTAGCGAGCGCTTCTCGTTATCTCGCTTTACAAGCACTCACACCAGAGCAAAGGCACAAGACGCAGGTCTAGCTTCCATCGCAAGCGTGTCGCTTCTTTTCTTGTATACGCATTCTCCCCCGTGAGATGATGAGCATAGGCAGCCGCCACATCAACGTTGGCTGAGGAAACTTCTCCCATCTTGACGGAATGTGTGTCCTCGATGTCGGCGGACGACATGACTTTGCTGTCGTCTGGCATGGTAGCGATGAGTGGGGTAAGGATGGAGATGCAAAAAGAACCTCCCAATGGGTGTCTCGAACACCTGATTAGATGCGTATCTTATACAAGACCAAGACAAAGAATCATATCAGTAATACCTATCTTGATATCTCGTTGAGTGTCGCTATCTCCAGCTAGACAGCGGCTGGACGGGATATGGAACGTCAAAGTCCAGCTCGATAGGACTAAGATTGTGTCCTTGACTCGTGAACGTTGTCATTCTCCGCATTCTGGCGACGGCAACGATCAACCGGTTCGCATACCCATGTTCGCTGCCTAGCGTCGAGGGACAAAGAGATGGTTCTTCGGACTCTCATGTCCGATGGTGGCATGGTGGGTCACGACCAATAGTGGACTGTCAGGCCCTCACACCACGCCATGATAGTGCTAGTATGGGTCCTGATACCCGACCGCTAGGATCCGTCTGTATAGACGACATGCGCCATGGGAAAACGGGCGATAGGGCTTGCTCGAAGGTTGCTGCGCGTACGGATATGGCGTCCTGCAGCGGCGCCAATTGTCCGTCACATTTCGTACGCAGAGTGTTGTGATCATCGCGCATCGCGTAAAGAATGCTTTCAACCATTGTGAAGACGTCGTCGTGGTGGTGAATACCAAAGTAGGCGAGTTCAGTACTTAGGTAGCCTTGTGTGGTTGGAGACGTGGCAAATCGCGAGATAGTCGCGACAAACGTCAACCGCTTATCGGCGGCCATCACGTGCATCGCCGAATGCGGGCATCCCGAAAGCGACATCCATAGAAGACAGATACATTGCCTGAGAAAACGTTATTCAGGGAGGATACATCCAACCAAAAGCTCTTCCACTCAATTCGTGGAACCATGGCACGAAATCTACGCATTTGCATGCTTAATGCCGATGCACCGGTGCCTGTTGTTGCCGCCGAGCGCGCCCCCACCTATGGGCGTATCTTCCACCAACTTCTTTCCTCCGCAGCTGCCAACACAAAGTTACCACGCGCGTCCTTGGACCCTGTCATTGAAATCACATCTACGGACTTCGATGTGACGAAGAACAAATATCCCAGCTCGATAGCAGAATTCGACGCTGTCATCATCTCGGGCTCTGCGAACTCGGCCTACGATGAGCTGCCCTGGATACGCAAACTCGCAAGATGGACGAAAGAATTATATGAGAAAGAGCCCAGGGTGAAGATCTTCGGCAGCTGCTTTGGCCACCAATTGGTGTGTCAAGCTCTACTAGGGGATTATGGTGTGAAGGTGGAGAAGCACCCGGAAGGCTGGGAACTCGGGGTAAAAGAGATCACACTGCAACGGCAATTCTACACCGAATTCTTGGGGGATGGTGGAGGTGGGGAATATAAATATGGCGAAAAGATGAAGCTACAATTCGTGCATCACGACCACGTGGTTGTTCCAGATTTAGAAGCGCTGCCGGGCTCCTGGACAACGCTGGGAAGTACTCAGCATTGCGCTAATCAGGGCATGTACGAACCTGGTCGTGTCCTCACATTCCAGGGTCACTTCGAGTTCGATCGTTTCATCAACAGTGAGACAATCAAATATTTCTTCCCGAATTGGCAGCCTAAGGTCTTGGAAGAGACGCTCGACGCTATCGATGCGGATGACGATTCTGTGGCAGCAGCTGGAGTTGTCTTGAAGTTCTTCTTGGGCGACAGTGCTAGAAAGCATGGTCAGTTACATGCTGTCGTTGGGGGTTTACTCACGCCGCCGTCAAGAGAATGAGCCCGCATTTCTACAGCCGATCCAATATGTATCAACTACATGTTCTAGGTTTAGACCTATGTACTACCTTCCTTGATTAATGCACTTAATCTCTTAATACCTTCAAGAATCTCTACCTCCGTGTGCCATGCCCATGATAAACGTATGCCATTTCCATAGCCCTTTGCCGCACGAACGGCGGATGTAGGGTCCCCTTGCACTTGCATCATGTCGCCATATGCAAACTTTACACTGTGTTTCTCCAAGCCTTTGGCAGCCAAATCGGCACCCTTTCCAGCTAGACCTTCTGGCAACAGTAGCCAAATGAAGTAGCCTCCAGCTTGCGCAGAAAACTCGTCAGGACTAGTGTCGGCGCCGCTCGCTTGGTCAGAATTCTCATTGTACGGCTTCCCAGTGGAGATAGTGACACCCAGTGGTACCAGAAAGTTCTCTATCCCTTCCAGCATAGCATAATAGCGGGCCCGAAACGTCGGAAGAACTTTGGTTTCAAGATGCTTGCGCAACAACCCAGACTCAAGCACCTCATGAACAAATGAAGCAGCCATGTGTGCGGGACAGCCTCCAGATCTGGTCGCACCCACTTGCGACAGTGCAAGCGTGAACGCAGGAGTCGCTTCTGCCCAGCCTACTCGTATACCCGGTGCTATGATCTTTGAGAACGAACCATTGCTCATAGCATTACCCCATTCATCTTTGGGGCCTCCGTCAAGCGTGCGATCGATGTCGACAATTCGGGGAGGTACATCACCGAGGCTCTCACAGCTTCCGTCCTTATCCGCTGGCCAGCGTAGTACGTCGTACACATCGTCGGTAACCACGAGGGCATCGAATTCTCGTGCGAGGAGAATGAGTTGTTGTCTTCGCCTGAGCGACATGGTCTTCGCGCTTGGGTTTGAAAACGTCGGAACGCAGTAGATAATGTGTCGATAAAGCTTCTTATATCTTTCACCCGTCTTTCGCGTTGATGGAGCGGGTGTTGTCGATTTATCTGCGTCCGCGAGACTTCGTCGTAGGAAATCCACATCCAGCCCTTCATCGTCTTCTGGCACACCCTTCATCATCCCCTGGAACCCGTTGTCCATGAAGATTGGACAGGCCAAAAAGTAGCATGGTTCAACCATCCATATGTTTCGTGTATAGCCTGGCTCAGTGAAGCGTGCAAGGACGTTATCCAAGTTTCCCGACGCTCCATTCGTGACACAAATGCGGTCGAACGAAAGTTCCGAACCGCGTCCGTACGTAGAAGTGAGCCATGCTGCGATACTGCGTCGAAGTGGTTCGTAGCCAGCATCTGGGCCGTATATGAGTGAGGCTGCAGTTTTTGCTTGCGAGTTAAGTACGCTTGTCGCACTGTCGAGAAGTTGAGCCGATGGGAAGAGTGACGGCGACGGCCACCCCAATTGCAGATTGATGCTTTCGGTCATATTGGTAGGATCCAGATGCGACAATGATGGTGTTCTTACAGGCAGATCACGGCGACGCTGCCATGAACAGCAGCAGTCGAATCATTTTGCGACCTCGGCATGCGCGCTGCAAACCCATGCTCATGCTCATAATCGCATAGCCGCTCAGCATATGGTGGAGAGTGTGGTATCGACCCCTGCCATTCTTTCGGACTCTGGCCCCCGATGGAGAGGAACGTCGGAACTTCGAAGGATTCACTGAGGGGTTCATTCGCGCCGCGCTAGTGAAGTATTAGCGTGTTTCCTGGGAAGGGATCGGCAATCGTGCGTCATCCTCATCCTGCCGGAATGCGCAGCAACTCCACCCTCAACGCGACGCGATAGGCATTACAAACCCGCGCTGCCATGCCTTCGGAACGATATGCCCTGCGGCATCGGTGTTGTTACAGCCAATGGCGCGTGACGAAACAGCTGACCAGGCGTTGCCTGTTTGGGGTGTTCATACCTTGATCTATCCTCTGGCACGAGGGTGATCTACTCCAATTCCCAGTAGTTGTAGGACATATAGGAGCTTTTGGCTGTCGGAGACCGCGGTTCACTTTTTCCTCGATTCATTCCCCTCTCAATCGCCCACCAAACATGCCGTTCGTTGAGCAGCCGCTGCAGGGTGCAGGCATCCGCATCGCTATAGATCGTGGTGGTACCTTTACAGACTGCTTGGGTATCGTACCCGGGAAACCAGATGTGCTAGTCAAGCTTCTGAGTAACGATCCGACGAACTATGCCGATGCACCCACAGAGGGTATCCGCAGGATACTCGAGCAGGCCTTGAACGTATCCATCCCACGCGGTGGCAAGATTGACACCAGCAACATCGAATCGATCAAGATGGGAACTACAGTCGCGACAAACGCCTTGTTGGAACGAAACTCCACAAAATGCGCGTTGGTCGTCACCAAAGGTTTCAGAGATCTACTACGCATAGGTGATCAGACCAGACCGAAGCTGTTTGATCTCAACATCCGGAGGCCTGAGACCTTGTTCGACGATGTTCTAGAGATTGACGAGCGCGTCACACTTCACGATTCGACCGAGGACAAGTCAACACTACGAGACCCTGACCGCAACTCCTATAACCTGGAAAGGGGGGTGGGCGGCGAAGCCATTCGCGTTTTGCGACCAATTGGTTAGTATCTTGACGTGGAAGTAACTTCCTCGCTGACACTTCAGTAGACAGCACACACGCCCGTGAAGGTCTCCAGGCCCTGTTCGACAAGGGCGTGCGGTCCTTGGCGATAACGCTTATCAACAGCTATACTTTCCCGAACCACGAGCTTCAAGTTGCCGATATCGCCAGACACATCGGCTTCACGCAGATATCAGTCTCATCACAGATCTTCCCCATGATCAGAGCCATTTCGAGAGGCTACTCAGCAACAGCAGACGCGTACCTTACGCCTTTGACGCGCAATTACATCGACGGCTTTCGTGAAGGCTTCGTAGGCGGCCTGGAAGATACCAAGGGTGCTCGTTGCGAGTTCATGCAAAGTGATGGAGGACTCGTGGGGTGGCAGCACTTCAGCGGTCTCAAAGCTATCCTGTCAGGTCCGGCTGGAGGTGTTGTCGGATTCAGCAAGACATGTTTTGATGTACAGCGGAGGAAGCCAGTGATAGGATTCGACAGTAAGTCTAAAGCTCGCGAAACATGTCGGAAGTATGCTGACAATTACGTAGTGGGCGGAACCAGCACTGATGTTTCGCGGTATGCGGGAACACTGGAGCACACCTTCGAGTCGATCACGGCTGGTGTGACGATTCAATCTCCACAGCTAGAGATCGACACTGTTGCTGCCGGTGAGTAGCACTCGAATCAATGGATCTAGATAGTTACTAAAGTTTCTAGGCGGTGGAAGCATACTTTCTTATCGCAACGGTCTCTTCCTCGCAGGCCCCGAATCGGCAAGCGCACATCCAGGCCCAGCAGCATACCGTAAAGGTGGACCTTTGACGGTCACAGACGCGAATCTTGTCTTGGGACGTCTGCAGGCTGAGTACTTCCCAAAGATCTTTGGCAAGCACGAGAACGAAGCTCTGGACTACGAAGGCGCAAAGCGAGCCTTTGAAGAGTTACTCGTCACGGTCAATGCGGATCTGTCACAGACTAGCGGAAAGACGAAGACAGTCGAAGAACTTGCTCTTGGCTTTCTGGAAGTTGCGAATGAGACAATGTGTCGACCCATCCGCTCGCTCACTGAAGCCAAGGGGCACCGAACTTCCGATCACGATCTTGCGGTCTTCGGCGGTGCAGGTGGACAAGCTGCCTGCGCCATTGCTGCCAATTTGGGCATCGACCGCATTTTGATTCATCGCTACTCTTCTATCTTGTCAGCATATGGCATGGCATTGGCAGACGTCGTTCGCGATGTTCAAGAGCCGTGCTCAGTATTGCTGAAGTCCTCTTTCGATGAACTTGACGAAAGGCTGTCGTCGCTCGAGAAGAACGCGGCTGAACAACTGGCCAACGACGGGTTCTCTGGCCAAACAATCGGTTTCGAGCACTTTCTTAACCTCCGCTACGAAGGGTCTGACACAACCTTCATGGTTTCGCGCCCTGATCAAGGAACGTGGGACGACGCCTTCGTAGCTGAACACAAGCGCCAATTCTCTTTCATCATGCCTGGACGCGATATCCTCGTTGAGAATGTTCGAGTCCGAGCGACAGCCCGGAGCCCATCGGTCGAACCCGAGTTCAACCTCGATCAACAGCTCACCGACTGCTCCCCATCCGCCGTGTCGACAAAAAAGATTTCAGATCATGTCCCAGTCTTCTTCGAAAATGGCTGGACTACGTCTCCTTTGTATCACTTGACAAAATTGGCAAAGGGTGATATCATCGATGGGCCAGCCATCATTCTGGACAACACACAGACCATCGTGGTTGCACCGAGCTCCAAAGCAACTATCCTGGACCGCCATGTCATGATCGAACTCGATCGAACTACTACCCTACCAGGCAACGAAGCTGCTGTACCTCGGACTGTTGATCCAGTCGAGCTTTCTGTGATGGCTCATCGCTTCATGAGTATCGCTGAACAAATGGGCCTCGCATTACAAAAGACGAGTGTTTCGGTCAACATCAAGGAACGTCTCGACTTCAGCTGCGCGCTCTTCAGTCCTGAAGGTCGCCTTGTAGCCAACGCTCCTCATGTGCCAGTTCACCTGGGCTCCATGGAACAGGCAGTCATGTACCAGCACAACAAGTATCTAGGCCAGCTACGACCAGGCGATGTCATCGTCGCTAACCACCCCATATCTGGCGGCACGCATCTGCCAGATATAACATGTGTGACGCCTGTCTTTGACGACACAGGCAAGACCATCATCTTCTACACAGCTTCGAGAGGTCACCATCAAGAAATTGGTGGAATACTCCCAGGCTCAATGCCAGCCGGCAGCGTCGAATTGCACGAGGAGGGTGCCATGATCGTCTCAGAATACCTTGTCCGTGACGGTGTCTTCGACGAAGAACTAGTCACAAGGGTGTTACTCCACGATCCCGCCCAATACCCAGGATGCTCAGGAACACGCAAGCTCGCCGATAACATCAACGACCTCAAAGCACAAGTATCCGCAAACGCGAAAGGCGCAGCGCTCGTGGCTGACCTCATCGCTGAGCGAGGTCTCTTAACCGTACATCTGAACATGCATGCAATCACCGCCAACGCTGAGTCTTGTGTACGCGAATTCATGAAACGTACATATCAACAAACTGGCGGCAAGCCTCTTGTCGCACTCGACTTCATGGACGACGGCACACCTATCAAGCTCGCCATAACCATCAACCCAGACGACGGGTCCGCACACTTCGATTTCACCGGTACAGGCGAAGAAGGCTACCACAGCTTCAACGCCCCACAAGCCATCGCCAGATCCGCCACACTCTACGTCCTCCGCTGCCTCATCAACCAAGACATTCCACTCAATGAAGGCTGCCTCCGCCCCCTCACCTTCACAATCCCAGAAGGAAGTATCTTAAACCCCTCGCCATACGCCGCAGTATGCGCAGGAAACCCAATCACATCCCAACGCGTCACCGACGTCGTCATCCGCGCATTTGAAGCCTGTGCCGCAAGCCAAGGTGACTGTAACGTCTTCTCCTTCGGTATAAACGGCGACCACGACGACAGCGGCACGCCCATCCCCAACTCTGGTTTCGGCTTCGGAGAAACAATATGTGGAGGCAGCGGCGCTGGACCTGGCTGGCACGGTACTTCAGGCGTGCACATCCACATGACGAACACGCGGATCACGGATCCGGAACTACTGGAGAAGCGTTACCCTGTGCTTCTTCGCGAGTTCAGCATACGTGATGGGTCGGGTGGACAGGGGCGCTGGAATGGTGGGAACGGGATTCGGCGCGTGTATGAGTTTTACCGCGACATGAATGCTTCGATTGTTAGCGAGAGGCGGGTTACTAGGCCGTATGGTATGCTTGGGGGTGGGGATGGGAGTAGTGGGGTGAATTATATTGTCAAGAAGGTTGGAGGGCGGTGGTGTAGGCTGGGTGGTCGTAAGGACTTTTCTGTACAGAAAGGGGATTGCTTTGTTATCGATACGCCTGGCGGGGGTGGATGGGGAATGAGGGATGAGGAGGAGACGGATCAAGTGCATACTGCACAAAAGTCGATGGTGGAACGGAGGTTTGTTAGCCAGTTTCAGTTGGCGCAGGAGGCCAGCAATTAGATACGCCAGATGATATCTCGAGAATGCACTGTAAACAATAACATGGCTTCATTGCGTTTCTCACATTCCTTACAATAGTCTCACCACGCGCCCTCTCTGGCTAGCACATCCCAGCCGACAAGTCGCCAAATCTCCTCTTTATACCAAGTCTCCACATCTTTGTCGTCAATTTCAGCCACATTTTGTAGGGAGCTCAGCCGCATGGCTGGCAACGGCTTCGTGAGAACGTCCAGAAACTCATCGTCCGTGTTATTTCCATACATACATGCAACGAGTGTTCGTTGCAAGCGATCTTTTGCAAGCGGACTTAGGCGCGCCCTGGTACTCGTGACGGGAGTTTTGGTGCTCAAAGTACGGACCGGACGATTTGACGTCTGGCTTGGACGAGCATTCTGGGGGTTCATATGGTTTGGAGCTAGCCCCATGGCGCGTTCAAGTATCAACACAAGAGCTTTGACTTCCAGGCGCGTTCCAAGGGCATCGGTATCTCGCCTTGTCTCTTCTGTCTCATCTCTCGGCTCGGTTGGCGGTAAGATGTTGCCATCGATGGACGTGCTGCGGTGCTGTCCAAATGTAAAGTAATACAATCTCTTGCCAACACGTTCGAACAAAACGAAAACGAAGCCATCGAAGATCTTCTGATGCACGGGATCCGTTTTCTCAAGGAATCCAAGGAGACTGATCAGCAAGTGGGCGACTGCTCTAGCCGGCGGCGACTCTTTGATAGTGGAAGGCGGCGTCTTGGTTTTCGTCTTCTTTGGCGAGGGCGGTTGCGACCAGAAATTTTGCGCTGTCCTTCGCGCCGAGGCCTCGATTGATTGCAATCCGGCGTTGAACATGTCTGCCACCCCGCAAACGATCAGACTTGTGAGACGTGCATCTGCGTTTGCCTCCATGAGTTTGTTGGTACCAACAAGTAAGGACATGAAAGCTCTTGCGCAGACGGATAAAGCGATGGCAAAGTCAGATTTGTCTCGGTCCAATGACATGGCTTCCAGTGTCCTCCGCCCTCGACGTGACAGTTGTTCGTAGTTCTGGGCGACTATGCATATGACTTTGCCGATACTCGAAGCAACTCTTACTAGATTGTGGCACAGTGTTTCGGCGTCCGGCTCTTCACTCCTGCATAGCGAGTGTGTAGTATACAAAGCTTCCGTGAGATTCGAGCCGTCTTTACCGAGCACATCCAGGAAGTCCATATCATTATCGATGGTCTCCTGGGCAGCAGCGGCCGGTTGTAGACACTGTTTCTGTGCTTGTATCGATGGCTTAGATCTCTTTGGCGATGCAGTCGGCGCCATCAGCATGCTTGTATCAACATCGGGGACAGGTCCGGAGAGGCCCGACAGTAGGTGATTTGATCGTTCGAGTTTGATGTTGATACCCCGAAGCCTGCCGCATTCGTCCTCGGCCTGTTGACATCGCTCCTTCCAGTAGGCGACCTGATCAACGTAGCATTCGGAATCGTCCCGTTCCCTCGGGTCTGGACCAGGCCTGATTTGAGCACGCAGTTGCAGGACGTAGTCTAACGACCGTTAGAAGGTGTGCATGATCTGGGCAGTCGGAAATTACCTCGTATTGGTATGTCCGCCGGCTTACTGCGAACGATGGCAAGGGCAAGCGCTATCTGTTGTTGGGACGGAAGAAAATTTGGAACGGAAGGTGCATTCTGCGTCATGATGGGCGTGAGTGCGGCACCTGGGACGAGTAAAGGAGATAAGCGTAGTTGAAGTGACGATTGGAGATCTGTTGATGGCGATTCCTGCGGTTGTCAAGAAAAACAGGCAAGGCATGTCCGGCAGAAGAAAGAAGGGTCGAGCTCCAAGCGCGCGTGTGTGAGGCAAGGAAGGAAGCATCCCCCCGGTACGTGAGGTTGGAAAGAGCGGCCACCATCAAAGGCAGCCACTGCGCAACATCCCACGCGGAAAGTCTGGGCTGGTAAACAATGCTACCACTTCATTGTCGCATTCAATGCTCTTGTTGTACATATCATGCTGACAACTCGAACTTGCAGCTGTCAGGTCATCGTATTGTACATATGGCTTACATGACTACATGCACTCACTACGTGCAACCTCATCCACCTCACCGCATGCGCTCAGTGCGCCTCTTGTAGGGCAGTGGCTCCACTCTCTTCCTCTTGAACTCTACAGCGATCTGATCCTTCAGACCATTACGCCCCATGACACCCTCCATGCTCTCGTCCCACTTCGTCCTGAACAGCGTAGCAGTGATTGCGCTCAACTTGTTCGAATCGGCAAAGCTACGAAGGTTGAATCCCATGCGCTTGGCCTTGTTGATCTTGGTGACGTCGAGCGGCTGGTTGTCATGCTGCTCGAATACAAAGATACCTAGGCGGTGGTAAGGCGCTCCTTTGTGGGCCCAGGGTGCTAACCAGGGTAGTGCGATCTTCTTGGCACTGAGATCCTCGGTCTTCTGGTCCTCTTGGGCGATACGCTGGAGTGGTATCGAAGTGCTGTTAGGCGAGATGGAGATGTTGGAGGCGATCAAGTGGCATCGGTAGGTGAAGCTGTCCTTCTCTGGAACTGGTACATCTGCGTCTACTACGACCACAGTGACGAGCTTCTCACCAGGTGTGAAGGTCTGAACATTGAGTCGAGGCATCTTTTCGCTAATGGCGGAGTCTACGAAGTCACCGGGCGCGACTGGCTTCCGTCCGAAGCCAAGATCGATGTCTGCAACCAAGTCGAGAGACGGGAGAAGATCGGGAATGATGGCAAGTTGCGTAACGCGTTGTTCGAGCACAAGACGCTTATACTGGCGCCATTTCCGGTCGGCAAGATAGCGGTATATGGGCTTGTTCATGTCACCTTCGCAAGTCAGTCAGGTTGAGAGAAAGCGGTTGGCACAACCTACCCTGTCCGTCCTCAAACTTTCGCTTCACAACAGGGTCGTTGATGTCGGCCAGGATGATCAGGTCATTCAGGTGCTTCCTCATGCTCCGCAGTCTGTGCTCCTTGGCTGCCGGGCCTCCACTGATGCTTGCGTCTTGCGCCATTAGGTTCTTTATCCGCTCCTGCTGAACCTTGATTTCCTTGATCTTCTCCTGCCTGTCTTCCAACAAGACCTTCCTCGCCTCCTGGAAACATTGGTACGGCAGCTGTTCGAATGGGACCTCGTCGGTCTTTTGCAGGGTCGACCGACGAAGGGTGGCACGGCGACGACGGGATCCAACGGGCTGGACATGTTCTCTCCGCAGCAATCGGCGCTCCTGCTTCTTGTTCTCCACCATCTGGGGGTCTAGCGTGCCCCATTTCTGCATGTATTCCGGAGTATCTTGGGAGCCGGCCTTTTGAGCAGCGCCTTCCGGAGGGTTCGACGGCGGTGGAGGGGGAGTCGCATTCGTGGGTTGTGTCTGCACCTCTTCACGGACGGCCGCCGAGGTGGAGAGGAGTCGGCGGGTGCCATTGGCGCTTGGTATTTGTCGCACGCATCTCAGACACGCGCTGAACTGGCGCAGGGTGGGTGTGGAGGCCATGGTGTTGATGGCGTCGACGATGTTCAAGAGCGATGGTGCCGCTGGAAAATGTGGTGATGACCACACTAGCGCTTTTCGTAGACCTCCGCCTCCAACTCCGACGACTGGAACAATTGCACCACGACGACCGGCATGGCTTCCACGAGGATATCCGCGCCCATGCGTGGCGCCACACACCAATTGAGAAGGCTGTCGGTGCGGCCAAATGCGCTGTGCACGCGCTGTGCCGTATGTTACCTCGCCGTCACTGTATGCGACATGCTAACGTCGTCAAGAAATCTCTATGCACGCCCACCACCCGCTCAATCACCACATCTGCGCCCTCTCAGGCGACACTAGCTTCTATAAGCACTCCCAGATCCGGATCCGGATATGTGCCCGTCAAACCTTTTGAAGAGCAGTCTGTGCTGGCGACCATCCACCGATTCCCCTCCCTCGAACCGCTCCGATTCGAACAATACCCTGCAAACCATCTCTACCTACCCACCCGACGAGACATATTACACCGCGCGGTCGTTTACGAGGGCGATAGTACACGGTTAGGTACGGCTTCTACCAAGACTAGGTATGAAGTCAGAGGTTCCCGCAGGAAGGTTAGACCGCAAAAGGGAACGGGTCGCGCTCGTCTGGGAGACAAGAAATCGCCCATGCTGAGGGGTGGAGGTGTCGCATTTGGTCCCAAGCCTCGCGACTTCGCAACCGAGCTGCCCAAGAAGATCTACGACCTCGCATGGCGGACAGCACTGTCATACCGGTTCCGAAAAGGCGAGCTGATCATTGTGGACAACGCAATGGAGATTGAGAGCCCGTCTGTGAGGTTACTAGGTGACACCCTCAAGTACCACGAGAAATTGCTGGGCAGGGGCAGGAGCTTGATGGTAACACTCGAAGAGCGACCCTTACTAGAGCAAGCATTAGCGGAGATGGATCGCGGCGAGCAAACACTCACATGGGAAGAAATCGACGTCAAGAACCTTCTCGAGCTGTCCCGCGTCATCATCGAGCGCGACGCCTTGCACAACATCCTCCTCTCCCACGAGGAAGACCTCACACACAAGGCTCTCCAGCCCTGGCACAAGAGCCTCATCCGAGCATCGCCACCCACGGAGCTTGAATCGACCATCGGCTGGGAAGAATTCCGCGAACTCTCACTCTCCGACCCCAAGGAAAAGGACACCATCCGCGCCGATATCTACGAGAACGTAGCAGGAACCCGCTACGCCTACGCCGAGTCCCTCCCCCAAGGACCCAAGCGCAACGAGCTTACCGTATCCGCCTACAATCTCCTGGCCGAAGCCAAAGAACTGCAATTCGCTGAAAGGACCGGCCATTCTTTCGCCGACTACCTCAACGACGCCAACACTGAATCCTTCCCTCGTCTGCAAATGTTGACCTACCAAATCAACACAAAGCAAGATCTCGCTGGGCCCGGCGGTACTCTGGAAACCTCGCCCGTAAAGTCTGAAGAACTCATGATCGAGGTCCGTGAGCTCGAAGTGCAGAAACATGAGGTAGAGTACGAGGCCGCACTGCTCGCAGCCCAAATCCACGAGCACCGCTCCGCAGCCTTACGCCTCGCCGGTAATGAAGCGAGCGCGGATGAGCAGCTTGAATTGGCTAGTGATCAGAGGACTTATGTCTCGGACGCTGAGCTGTTGATTCTGGAGGCTAAGCTTGAAGTAGCCAGGCAAAAGAACACTGTCGCTACGCTCAAACGCGATGTTGCTGGCCAGAAGAAGGCAAGGGAAGAGATCAGGGTGTGTGAGCAGGTGCTCGAGGCTAAGAGGGCGGAGGTAGCTGCCGAGACTGAGGAGCTCGAGGCTGTTGAGGATGATGTACCAGAGGTTGAGGTTCCGACTGAGGTTGAGACGAAGGCTGAGCCAGTCAAGGAGGAGAAGAGGATATGAGACTTTTCGTCGTGTTTACTGTACAGTGTATCTATAGATGTTCATGAATCGTTACACCACGTTTAGGTGGGTTGTGTTGTACAGTATACTACATGGCACGGAAAATGCTCACGTGCTCTCCCTTACCATCCCTTATTGCATCTTCAGCCCACAATCCCATCATCCGCGGCTCGGCATTTGCCTCGGGAGCACATGGCGAGGGTTTCCCTAGGTTTGCTTGTCCATCTCATCTCGACGTTCTCTCAAGCCGCCTCATCATCACCCTCCTTCTTCTCCACCTTCTTACCTTCATACACGACCGTCATAATGCCGCCAACCTCGCCCTCTCTCTTCGTCTCCCGAGCTCCCTTACAATCCGCCACCGCGTTCTCAATTGCCTTGAAAACCGCATTCGCTTCTTGCTCTGTCGCCTTCCTGCCATGCTTCTTCGGCCCGAGTGTGACCTCGACCTTGCGCCCCTCCTTCAGAAACTTCTTCATAGCCACCAGCCTGTGCTTCAGGTCGCCCGCCGCTATCGCCCAGTTCAGTTCTAGGGATTTTGTAGCGGGTCCTGTGCCCTGGCCCTTGGCTTGCCGTCGGAGCGTCTCGAGCTTCTTTTGATGTTGTGCGCGGAGATCGATTTTGGAGATGACGCGACATGTTGGTAGGCTGTTCGGGTCTAGGTTTCCATCTTCGTCGTATTTTCCTGGGGTCATTTGGACGAGGTGGTGTGTGACTTTGTTGAAACTTGTCAGCGCCTCGTCAAGTGGGACGTTGTTGTGGAAAACGCCCTCTTCGTCTACGAGGTTGATGATGTCGGCTTCGATGGCTTGGTCGATGACGTAGTAGTCGGAGATGGCATGGCGGCGTGTGTCTTTCGTGTACTTTATGCCGCGGGTGGAGGTTCGGCTCGTGAGACTAGGTGTGGACGAGGAGAGGGAGGTGGGAGACGATGTCGGCGCAAATGCTGGGGCGTAGAGAAGTGGGATGGATGTTGTGTTGCGTAGGTTTGGCGCGATGAAGACACGGTAGAGGGCCCGTGATGTGCCGGAGATGTGTGTTGGTGGCATCTTGAGCGATTGACGGCAAGTCGTAAGAATCAATTGAACGGGAGAGAAGTTTGACTTCGTTGCTGCAACATGCGATATTCAAGACCGAAGCTTCCCGAGATCGACGCTAGCAGGGGTCGAGTCGAATCGGAGCAGTGACGACCTCCGCAATCGTCCATGGTGACCATCTTCAGCCTGCTCACGTAGCAAACCACCATGATAGCGATAGAGACGACTTGTACATTCCTTGATCTCGCGCAACCTTACCTGCCGCCATGAGTAGTTTTCTGGCGGAATATTTGTCTGCACTCGATGCGCGTGACGCGAAAGAGAAGGCGCATAAGCAGTACATTAACGCCTGTATGTTATCTACCCACGCGGGACGCGCTACTACGAGAAGATGCTGATGTTCATAGATACCAGGCTCGCCGACAATACCGCGCAGTTGTCAACCCAGACATCCTCCGCGGAGGAGCCCTCACCCGCAGCCAGCGCATCTGCCAAAGCCATCCCGTCAAAGGGCAAAAGCGCAGCGACAACCGATGTATCCTCCCCGTCCGCTGTCGCGCAACTCCGTTCCGAACTTGCCATCACTCAGCGCACGCGCGGTGATCTCGAAACGCAACTGAGTAGTTTGACTGCTGAGCTCAGCGCCCTCAAAGCGTCAGACACACAACAGAAGCAGCGCATAGAACAACTTGAGAAGGCGCGAACAGCACTGGAAAGGCGGGGCAAGGACAGAGCGGAGGAGCTCAAGGGCAAGGGGAGACTTGTCGAGGAGGTACACGATGAGATGGTTGCGCTGAACCTGCAACTCAACATGGCGGAGCAGGAAAAGGAGAAACTGCGCAAGGAGAATGAGGAGTTGACGAAGCGGTGGGTCAAGAAGATGGAGGATGAGGCACGGAGGATGAATGAGAAGTCGGGGTGGGAAGATCAGTCGCGGCGGAAGAAGTAGCGATGATGGACCACCCTGGCGTCACTCTTATTCTATTTTGTTGGCCCTAGGCGATATGAATCTCAGCGTTTAGCGCAATAGACTGTTTTCACCTCATCTCACCCTCGTGTAGACTGCCCGCTTGCTCGCTGATGCCTTGTATCTCTTGGCGCTAGAGCTCCCCGCCGCAAGCATACAGCTCCCTCGCCTCCCCACCAAAACACCAATCTCACTCAAACAAACCTACGCTGTCTTCAACCATGGGGACCGCATTGAAGACCTGGGGTAAGATTAATTCTGCTATTGTCAGAACATAGCCATCCTTGAACTTGGATACCCCGCATACCATCGCATGGCTAACAAACATGCCAGAGCTCGAGAACTCCGTCAAGCTCGTCGACCCCAGCAAAGACGCCCTCTACAACTACTCAGCCTCCGCACAGAAAGCCATCAACGACGCGCACCCATGGCGAACCGACCCCAACTACTTCACCTCCGTCCGCATCTCGGCCATCGCCCTCCTCAAGATGGTCATGCACGCGCGCTCGGGCGGCTCAATCGAAGTCATGGGCCTAATGCTAGGCAAGATTGAAGCACACACATTCGTCGTCACGGACGCATTCCGGTTACCAGTCGAAGGAACAGAGACACGAGTCAACGCACAAGACGAGGCAAACGAGTACATGGTAGAGTTCCTGCAGCGCGCACGAGAACAAGGCCAGATGGAGAACGCCGTCGGCTGGTACCACTCACATCCCGGCTACGGCTGCTGGCTCTCCGGTATCGACGTCAACACACAGAAGACGCAGCAAATGTTCCAAGACCCCTTCTGCGCCATCGTCATCGACCCCGACCGAACCGTCTCCGCGGGTAAAGTCGAAATCGGCGCCTTCCGCACATACTCCACAGAGTACGTTGAGAATCAAGCGAAAGCGGGTGGCGGCTCCAAGAACGTGAGCGGTGCAGAGAGCGACGGCTTCGAGACTATTCCGCTCGGGAAGATTGAGGATTTCGGTGCGCATGCCAATCACTACTATTCGCTGGAAGTCTCGCACTACAAGTCCTCGCTCGACGCCAAACTGCTAGAAGCGCTATGGAACAAGTACTGGGTACAAACACTCTCCTCAT